GAGAGAGAGAGAGAGAGATTAATAAAGAATATTTGGGCAAAAGTACAACCAAACATCACTCAAGGTGCATTCAATTCATCTTTAAAGACACTTGAAATACCATAAAAATCGTTCTTATATGGTATTTTCTTTTGTTTCATATTCCAATTTCAAATTAAATCAGCCACCGTTTTGCCCAGGTGTTGAAGTGACAAAACACACCTAAAATCATTATTAAATACAAAGACCTGGACTCAACAGTACTGCAAATAATGTTTGCTGTTTGTAGTAGCAGCAGATGGGTGGTGTCAAATTCTGATTAATAAAATGCTTTTCTGTCTTTTGACTCACCCATCTGCTTCTCCCAAGTGACTTAAAACTAGTTTTTTTTAAAAGAATTATTGGCAAATACAAATTTGACCAGCGTCTGTTAAATAAACCAGTGTCACAACTTTGTAGATACACAGCTGAAGCGGAGCGTCAAAACTAAGTATGTTAAGACACAGAGAAAGACAAACTCCAGGAGAATCATCATTGCCATCAACAAAGGGGAAATAAGGTGGTGGGGTTCGAAACGGACTCAAGGCATGATCAGTCTTCTCACAGAGTCCACTAGCAACAAGTTCAGTCTCAGTTGGAAATTCTGTTAAATAACAACCTCTTATGGGAAAAAAATTACTTATATTAGTTATGTGTGGCATTCATGTGCATCATTTCATATCCCTAATTCAATTAAACTGAATCCTTACTTGGAGAGATGCAAAAATGGATGCTATCGAATGCTTGAAGCAAAAGATTATTTCCAACAATTGAAGGCTTGTAGTTTATATACACAGCTAATTGGTCTTGAGGAAGCTATGGAAAACACTGCAGTCTGTGTACTGCATACTTCAGAGTCCACTGTGGTCCTGGCAATGCAGACTGTTAGTGAAGGATTTAGAAAACTGCAGTCCACCATCAGACCTGTAGGTTATTTGAAGAGGCAGGATCATGTGATATACCAGATAAATCTTAAAACACGAATAAAAGGATTTGTGCAGCCTTAAGCTTTCCAAAACTGAACACTAAACATTCAAGCTTGATCTAAAAACCTTGAGCGCTTCCTTTTGTTGCTTCTGCAGCAAGCAGGCAGTCGTCCTGCTGGCAGAGTCATTACGTCTTCAGGAAATAACCGAGCTAATGTCTCGGACAGCTGACAGAAGACAACACCTTTAGCAGTTCATTATGTGACTGGATCCAAAGCTGCTTCGGAATCTGCTTCTGTGACCGATCTGCTGTAGTGCTGCTTGACCACTGACATTTGTAAAAAAAAAAAAAAA